GAGAGGGAGGGGTCAGGAAGGACTCCCTGGGATCTGGCTTGGGTGACAGTAGGGATTTGTGGACTTTGTCCAAGAGGTCACAAACTGGTAGATGGAAGGGAGGGAAACTGGAAACTTAGGCATGAACCTCCCACCTCCACCTTCTGCCTGGGGGCTGGCAGGCCTAGAAGGGGCTGCTGAGAGCCCCAGGAGCCACTGATCCACTAGTGTGCCACTACATGCCTAATACCATTGCGTGCCTAGCAGGTATTGAGCACTTGGTAATTTGTGTTAGGCTCCACCCAAGACTTCATATATACAATCTCATTTCATCCTCATGACAACCCTAATTATCATCCTCCTTTACAGATGAGGAAACTGAGGCTCAGAGAGGTTTCAAACCTCAGCCCAGATCACACAGCTAGTAATGGGACACCACGATTTAAACCCAGGTAGTCAAACTCCAGAGCCTGTGAAACTAACAATTTGTTGTTCTGCCATGAATCCTCAAGTCTAAGGATGCCTTCACACACTGACCTCCTCTAGTGACCAGGAGAGGTAGGCTGTGGGGGTGCTGAGAAGTCTCAATGAAGCCAGCAATAAGCTCAGAGAGATAGAGGCTTGAGAGGAGACTTATTGCTCCCAGATGCTCACAAAAGATTTTCAGCCACTGTATCAGCTACCAGAAGCATGACACTGCTGCCTGACAACCAGCCCCAAACTCCCAGTGGCATCCAGGGATGAGCACTTATTGCTGACACGTCTGGGCCCACCTGGGGGTGTCAGGCAGCCCTGCTGATTGGGGCTGGACTCACTCGTAGCTTTAGGGGTCAGCCTGGGTTGGCTGATCCAGTGTGGGTCAGACTGGACAGCCTGGTTCTGTGGGTCAGACTGGATAGCCTGGTCTCACCCACCTCCCAGGAGGGCACTGCATAGCAAAGGGCATGGGTGCAGGGAAGGCGAGGAATCAGGGCCATCTTGGTCAGCCACCACAGCCACATTCTCTCTGACTCAAACAAGAAGCATAAACTAAGGCAGGGCAGAGGGAGGGTACTCACTGGGCCGGAGCTCTGAAATCACCAACAGGCAGTCAGTGGTCGAGTCACTTAACCTCTTTGGGCCTTAGTTTTCCCCATCTGTGAAATGAACAACTGCCCTGTCTTCTTATTCGGAGCTGATGAAATAACAGAGGCTTGTGAATGGGGCAGGGGGGTCGTTAACTACTACTGTCCTCAGTCCCTGGACTCAAATCTTCGCTGTGTCTTTTTTTTTTTAAAGACAGAGTTTCACTCTTATTGCCCAAGCTGGAGTGCAGTTGTGCGCTCACAGCAACCTCCGCCTCCCGGGTTCAAGTGAGTCTCCTGCCTCAGCCTCCTGGGTAACTGGGATTACGGGCACCTGCCACCACACCCAGCTAATTTTTTTTATTTTTAGTAGAGACGGGGTTTCATCATGCTGGCCAGCCTAGTCTCGAACTCCTGACCTCAGGTGATCCACTGGCCATGGCCTCCCCAAGTGCTGTGATTAAAGGCATGAGCCACTGAGCCCCGCCCTCCCTCTCTCTTTTTGTTCCTTAGGAGAGGAAGCCTCATTCCTAGCAGGCCTCAGGCCTCCAGCATATCCTTGGGGTCCACGTCCCAGAAACTGAGTCCCATCAAGTTGAGACACAGGCTGAGTCTCCAAAGGTTCTCATGGCAGTGGGCCACAGGACCACATGAAGGCAAAGAATAAATAGGCAGCATCTTCCCATCGCATCCATTTTCTGTGACGATCAGGAGGGAAGAAAAGACTTTATATTGAAATAAACCCAGCTATGTATGAAGTCACAAAATTCAAATTAAGCTTTCAAATGAAGAATGAGACTTCCAAGACATTTTGCTATTGTGAGTGCCATGTGCTCGACCCCAGGTCATCACTTCACTGCAAATTAGAGCCAGCGAATCCAATCTGTTTTGTAAATAAAGTTTTATTGGAACACGGCTATGCCCATATGGCTGCTTTTGCACTGCAACGGCCAAGTTGACTAGTTGTGACAGAGACCATATGGCCTGCTGAAATATTTACTGTCTGGCCCTTTACACAGAAAGCTTGCCAACCGCTAAACTCCTTGCATTATTTGATGAAAAGGTTTGAAGAATTCTGTGCTATTCGAATATCTTAGGCCTGCAGGTCTAAGGAATTAAGAGTAAACCTTTATTGCAGCTACTATTCTGAGTGATCAAATCAAACTATTGTTTGATTCTAACAACCCTAAGACGTAATGGTATTGTTATTGTTTCTCTTTGATAGGCGAGGAACCCAAGGAAGAGAGTGAAATGTGCCTTAGTCCAGTGCTTCTCAAATGTTAATACGCAGAGGAAGGAAATCATCTGGGATTATATATTAAACCACAGACAGTGAAGATGGGACATTCTGCATTTCTAACCAGCGACTAAGCTGTGCTGCTACTGCTGGCCCAGGCCACACTCCGTAGAAAGGATCCAAACCACAGGCTCACTACACAGAGGCACCCGGGGCTTAAGCCCAGGCCCCCAGCCACTAAGCCACGTGGCTCCTCAGAGCAGTTGTCCTGAATGAGTCACAAACTCCATGAGAATTTCACATCTGGCTGGGTGCAGTGGCTCATGCTTGTAATCCCAGGACTTTGGGAGGATGGGTGGATCACCTGATGTCAGGAGTTCAAGACCAGCCTAGCCATCATGGCAAAACCCAGTCTCTACTAAAAATACAAAAAATTAGCCAGGCTAATTTTTGAGTGGTGGTGGGGGACGCCTGTAATCTCAGCTGCTTGGGAGGCTGAGGCAGGAGAATTTGCTTGAACCCAGGGGGCAGAGGTTGCAGTGAGGCGAGATCATGTCATTGCACTCCAGCCTGGGAGACATAGCAAGACTCTGACTCAAAAAAAGAAAAAGAAAAGAATTACGCATGTGCATCTCCCTGCCCCACTGAGACACCAAGGACCCAGCCCAGTATAGAACCTGATACATTACATCATTGTCAAAACATATAAATGGAGAACTAAGCTCCAGGGTAGGAAGTGTGCTGTAGCCGCTCCCGCACTCTGCCTCCTCTCCCTCTCTTTCCTCCCCTCCCAGCACAGAAGACTAGATTTTTGTGCAGGCGCCACCCCACCGGATCCCGGAGGTTCTGGGTGAAACCTCTTGGCCCAAGACCAAGGGGGAGAGGCCTGGCCAATCAATGCATTGCAACCCCTCCCCACCGCAGCAATTGGCTCAGGAATGGGCATGTGACCTGAGGCAGGTCCAATCAGAGAGGTTGCAGGCTTCTGCAGGGAGCCACCAGAAGGCTGTCACTCACTCACTGCAGGGGATGAGGGGATGTGGGACTGTGGGAATGTGAGGCTACAAAGCAAAATGAGAGGGGAAGGCGGTGATGGGGTGATTTTGCTCCCCAGGGTACATCTGGCAATGTGTGGAGACATTTTTGGTTGTGTCAACTCCGTGGAGAGGGGTAGGGACTGGCATCTAGCTGTCACATTCCTGCAATGCACAGGACATAGACACGGCCCGCATAGCAAAGAATCATCCGCCCAAAATGTCAACACTGCTGCAATTGAGGAACTCTGGACCAGAGATCCTGCAGTGATCTTGTCCCCAAGGAAGGGAGAACCCGGAGCAGCCACAGGCCACTTAATGGAGTCTGAGACCTCAAAGCAGAAGGCAGAAGGAAAAGATGAAGAAAAGCCAAGTCCAGAACCATCGCCAGTGCCCTGAATCCAGCTCTGCTCCTGGACTTTGCCATTCTGTGGCCCAATGAATTACCTTTTGGCTTAAGCACAACTGAGTGAAGTTTTGTGTCACTTTCCAGTCCTGACAGTAGCTGAGCACAGTGGCTCACACCTGTAATCCCAGCACTTTGGGAGGCTGAGGCGGTGGATCACCTGAGGGCAGGCGTTAGAGACCAGCCTGACCAACATGGTAAAACCCCATCTCTACTTAAAAAATACAAAATTAGCCAGGTGTGGTGGCGGGCACCTGTAATCCCAGCTACTTGGGAGGCTAAGGCAGGAGAATCGCTTCAGCCCAGGAGGTGGAGGTTGCAGTGAGCTGAGATCACGCCACTGCATTCCAGCTTTGGTGACAGAGCGAGACTCTGTCTCAAAAAAAAAAAAAAAAATCCTATAGCAACGTGGTGGAACAGACCGAGAATCTGTTCCTCTTCCTCTCTGTTTGTAGATTGGCACCCCAGGCCGGAAATCCTGTGGAACTGGCCCAAGGTTACACAGCAAATTCACAGCAGGTGTTTGTTCAGTGGCCTCATACAGAACAAACTTTAGTTTTATATTAAAACAAACAAAGATACAGAGCAGAATGCCAAATTCACGTGAACCTTTAAGATAAAATATGAAGCTTAAGTGGCCAGGTGCAGTGGCTCATGCCTGTAATCCTAGCACTTTGGGAGGCTAAGGTAGGCAAATCACGAGGTCAGGAGTTCAAGACCAGCCTGACCAATTTGGTGAAACCCCGTCTCTACTAAAATATATATATATATATATATATAAATTAGCAGGGCATAGTGGCACTAGCTGTAGTCCCAGCTACCTGGGAGGCTGAGGCAGGAGAATCACTTGAACCCAGGAGGCAGAGGTTGCAGTAACCCCACTACACTCCAGTCTGGTGACAGAGCGAGACTCCATCTCAAAAAGAAAAAAGAAGAAAAATAAGGAAACACAACTCCTCTCCTCAATCTTACCCGGGGCGCGGTGGGGGTGGAGAGGCACAACTCCAAGGACCAACAATTAGTATGTTTCTTCTTTCCCTAACACATAACTTAATCTCTTCGAAACAGATGGAACCCATATTCCAATATGTACCTTTGGCATCTTTTTCAAAGTATTGCTAGGGGGACAGTTGGCAGAAAATGGAAAAAAAAAAATATTTGGACACAAGCTCTTTTTTTGATTAGGCTTTGAGAAAATCCCCATCTTGCGTGCTCTGAGTATATCTCTCACTGATAAGTTCGCCCATAAAACCAGGGCCTTATCCAGGGCCACACTTAGAGAACTCCCACGGACACACCATGATTAGGACCCTACTGCTGTCCGCTTTGGTGGCTGGAGGTAAGCCCTGTCACCCAGAGTCACTGGTTTCCCATCCCCTGGTGGGGCTGGGCATGGGATCTTTCTGTCCTCCCCTCTCACCCCCTCCCAACTCCTACTGCATTCAGACCTATATTTATAAGAAAACTGGAATGGACTTTCAAAGAATTGGCGCAAAGAGCAGGATTCTATGACCTCCTGGGATCCTTCCAGAAGAAGGGCTTTCCATTTAGGTGTTCCGAATGCAGCAAGTGTAGTTTACACTGTGCGGGTTGCTGCTTCCTAGGCTCGAGATCCTTTCTCTTTTCACAGCCCTCAGTTGTGGGGACCCCGCTTACCCGCCCAACGTGTCTAGGGTGGTTGGAGGTGAAGATGCGAGGCCCAACAGCTGGCCCTGGCAGGTGAGTTGTACTTCCTCCCTCCCTGCCCCCTCCCTTTGTATCCCGCTCTGTCCTTCCACCACGGGGTCTATTGTGCTGGAAAAGTGAGGATTGATGGGGACTCAGAGAGCAGCACAGGCAACTTCAATAAGATACATTTGCAGCTGGGCGCAGTGGCTCATGCCTGTTATCCCAGCACTCTGGGAAGCTGAGGTGAGCGGATCACCTGAAGTCAGGAGTTCAAGACCAACCTGGTCAACATGGTGAAACCCGCCTCTACTAATAACACAAAATTAGCCGGGTGTGGTGGCACACGCCTGTAATCCCAGTAACTCGGGAGGCTGAGGCAGAAGAAACGCTTGAACCCAGGAGGCAGAGTTTGCAATGAATTGAAATTACACCACTGCACTCCAGCCTGGGAGACAAAGCAAGACTCTGTCTCAAAAAAAAAAAAAAAAAAAAGATACATTTCTGTGGTCTTAGCCAACCTTGGGAGTGGAAGGAGAGGTACCTCCTCCACCTACAGTAAGGACTTGTCCCCTCCCCACTGCTCATATGCAGATTTACAAATATAGTATTACTCCATTAACCAATCAGAGGCTTGCTTACAAATGTACCGCTATCCTATGAACCATTCAAGACAACCTATGCAAATATTCCTTGCTTTAAGGAACCAATCAGTGCCATTTTTGCAGATTAATCTTTAACTACAGGCAAATCAATATTACCAGTGAAAATAAATGTTTTCTTAAGTTGATATAATCATGGTGCTATCAAGACTAAACTGCCGAGTGCGGCACAGGCACAAATTACTAAGACGTGTTAATGGTGGGAATTTCAAGAGAAATGTGTGAAGTTTACATTGACATAAACAAATATAGTAAAATCCCATTTATCTGATGTAATTGGAATGAGTAATTGAAAAGTTGGTTATAAAGAAATTATTTTAAATCAAACATATATTCTGTAAACATTTTATTTTATACTATGTAAATATACATTCCCCAATGTTTTGAGTTTTTAACTGTCTTTTTCATATAAACCACTTCCCATAATATCTCATCTACAAGTCCATTTCTTTAAAGCAGAGCAGTAACTTTGAGACGGTCACAAAGCAATCTAAGTTATGAGCCCATTCATACTTTTATGACATCCCCCCCAGTCTTTCAATTTTCTCACAGACACTAATTCAAGAGCAATTTTTAAAGAATCATGGTTATTAGGCCAGGCGTGGGGGCTCACACCTGTAATCCCAGCACTTTGGGAGGCTGAGGCAGGAGAATCACTTGAACCTGGGAGTTGGAGGTTGCAGTGAGCTGAGATTGCGCCACTGCTCTCCAGCCTGGGTGACAGAGCGAAACTATGTAAAAAAAAAAAAAAAATCATTATTATCCAGTCTCTTCCAAAGATTGAACTTTATTTCCATATAAATCACAACTCTTTCTGAACTCCTATTTCACTGGTTACACATTTAATCAAATTTCATTATTGCAAGCATAATTGACATCAACTGCTTTGGGAGAAAACCCAGCTGAATCAGGATGAGTTTCTAACTTACGTAGGAAGAGCAACTAGCAGCCCACTAGCCTTAAGCATTCAGAGTGTCCCATGCAGCAGCCACTGTGTTTATAGAGGCCAGCATTCATTCATTTGCTTCTTGATTAAGAGACTGTCAATGATAGACCGGGCATGGTGGCTCATGCCTGTAATCCCAGCACTTTGGGAGGCCGAGGTGGGTAGAACACCTGAGTTCAGGAGTTTGAGACCAGCATGGTCAACATCGTGAAACCCCGTCTCTGCCAAAAATACAAAAATTAGCCGAGCATGGTAGCAGGCACATGTCCTAGTTACTCGGGAGGCTGAGGCACAAGAATCACTTGAACCCAGGAGGTGGGAGTTGCAGTGAGCCAAGACTGTACCTCTGCACTCCAGCCTGGGTGACAGAGTGAGACTCAGTCTAGAAAAAAAGAAAGATTGTCAATGATAGACTGATGTTAGATATTTCACAATTTTTTCTTTTTTTGAGACAGGGACTTGCTCTGTCACCCAGGCTGGAGTGCAGTGGCACAATCATAGCTCACTGCAGCCTCAAACTCCTGGGCTCCAGCTATCCACCTGCCTCAGCCTCCCAAAGTGCTGGGATTATAGGCACCCACCACTGCGCTCAGCCACACAGTGATTTTTTTCTTTTGAGACAGGGTCTCATTCTGTCTCCAGGCTGGAGTACAGTGGCTGGTAAAACGTGACTCACTGTGGCCTCAAACTCCTAGGCTCAAGTGATTCTCCCACTTCAGCCTCCCTACCAGCTGAGACCACAGGTACAGGCCACCACACCCGGCTAATTTTTTTTTTTTAATGGGGTCTCACTATGTTTCCCAGGCTGGTTGGGAACTCCTGGGCTCAAATTATCCTCCTGCCTCAGGCCCCCAAAGTGCTTGGATTACAGGCATGAGCCACTGAACCCCAGCCTCACAGCTTATGTTTGGCTTTGTATACTTCCGCCAGTTCCTTTGCTCTTCTCACAGTTCCTCAGCACTTCTTCCCCGGGAATTTGGAAGAAGGGCCACAGTCCCTCTGCTACTGGGCCCCATAGCATGGGGCACACTTGTGCTGAGAACTAATCATTGCTGCCTACAGGAATACCTCCTCACTCTGTTGCACAAAGGTATTATTGCCTTGAGAACCAACAATGTTAGTCTTTGAAAAGTCCCTACACATCATGCTTCTGTTTCCCCGGGGAAATTTTTTTACTTAGATGATAGGCAGGTCTAGCTGGGTGGGGACTCGGAGGGGGCAAATAGGACACTCACTATGGGGGCAAATTTTAAGGGGGTAGTACAAAACTTAGCAGCCAGCCAGGCACAGTGGCACACACCTGTAATCCCAGCTATTCAGGTGATGAGGCTGGAGGATTGTTTGAGCCCAAGAGTTTGAGGCCAGCTTGGGCAACATAGCTAACCCATCTCAAAAAAAAACAAAAAAAAATCATTTTTCTTAAAAAAAAAAAACAAACCCAACAACTTACTAACCAAAATAGATAATTTTTGATGCAGTTTTTTTTTCCTAGAGACAGCATCTCACTCTGTCATCCAGGCTGGAGTACAGTGGCACAATCTCAGCTCACTGCAACCTCCACTTCCCATGTTCAAGCAATTCTCCTGCTTCAGCCTCCCAAGTACCTGGGATTACCATGCCCAGCTAATTTTTTGTATTTCTAGTAGAGATGGGGTTTCACCATGTTGGCCAGGCTGGTCTCAAACTCCTGACCTCAGGTGATCTGCCTGCCTTGGCCTCCCAAAGTGCTGGGATTACAGGCATGAGCCACTGTGCCTGGCCAGCTATTGTAATTATAGTATTAATCACTATAAGAGCCCTGCTCCATGGCTTATGTTCTCCATTTTCCAGAGAAGGTAACTGGGACTTGGAAAGGTTACAGAATTGCCCAAAAGCACCGAGTTAGCCTGGAGTGAATGAGGATTCAAATTTGGTTTAGCTACACTTTGCTGGCCACAAAGAATACATATTACCTGGACAAAATTTCACATCTGTAGGATGGCTTCAGCCTATTTTAAAAATCCTTTTAAGTAACTTTTTTCTCTTTGTCTAATTTTAAACATCTTTTTAAAAGCCAGTTCATCTAAGACCTCTTAATGTCACACAAACGAGAAATATCAAGTGGAGAAATACCGAGTGGCTAATTGAAAACAAGGACATTCAGAGAAAAGTAGGCACCTGCCAACAAACAGATCATTGTTCCCCCACAGTTATAGGAACACCGATCAGAGCAGTCCCCACCTGCTGTCACCTCCCTCCTCTCTGCTTGGCCATGGCAGGGAATTGAAAGACAGGGGAGGAGGAATGAAGGAAGGGGAAGGGCATGGAATAGCTTCACTAGAGACTAAACATTGTCAAATGTCACCACCTTAATGTTCTTTTTTTTGAGACAGGGTCTCATTCTGTCGCCCAGGCTGGAATGCAGTGGTGCCATCCCAGCTCACTGCAACCTCTGCCTCCTGGGTTCAAGGGATTCTCCTGCCTCAGCCTCCCAAGAAGATGAGATTGCAGGCGTGTGCCACCATGCCCAGCTAATTTTTGTATTTTTAGCAGAGACGAGGTCTCACCATGTTGGCCAGGCTGGCCTCAAACTCCTGGCCTCAAGTAATCCGCCCACCTCGGCCTCCCAAAGTGCTGGGATTATAGGCATAGGCCAGCACATCCAGCCCATACCACCTTAAAGTTCTACCCCACACTCGTTAAACTGTCTACCTAAACAGAAACCATTTTTTTTTTTTTTTTTTGAGACAGCATCTCACTCTGTTGCCCAGGCTGGAGTGCGGTGGCGCCATCTCAGCTCACTGCAGCCTCTTCCTCCCAGGTTCAAATGATGATTCTCCTGCCTCAGCCTCCTGAGTAGCCACTGTGCGCAGCCCAGAAACCATTTTTTAACCTAAAAAAAATGTGAGGGGCTGGGGGACAGAGGAGTAAAGTCCACTTATGCAGCCTCATGTTCCTATGAGTGAATTTGGTCTTCAGGGAGAAATAGACCAGCAAGAGACAAGATCACTGCCCCTAGTGATCTCTTTCATTCTATTCATTCATTTATTCACTCACTTAATCAGTAAGCATTTGTTAAGGATGCAGTGTGTACCAGGCACTATTCTAGGTGCCTGGCACATAGCAGTGGGGGAGAAATTCATGAAGCCTTTATTAAAGTGGAGGAGAGGCCATGCACAGTGGTTCACACCTAAAATCCCAGTACTTTTGGAGGGCAAGGTGGACGGATCATCTGAGGTCAGGAATTCAAGACCAGGCTGGCTAACATGGCAAAACCCCATCTCTACTAAAAATGCAAAAAATTAGCCAGGCATGGTGGCAGGCACCTGTATTCTCAGCTACGTTGGTGGCTGAGGCAGGAGAATCGCTTGAACCCAGGAGACAGAGGTTGCAGTGAGCCGAGATCACACCACTGCACTCCAACCTGGACGACAAAACACAACTCCAGTTCAACAAATAAAGTGGAGGAGTGAGACAAAAAACAGCTGAATGGATAAAGTCATAACATGCCAGGAAATGAAAGATACTAATGATGAAGAGCAAAGCAGGGCAAGAGGAAGGAGATGAGAGTGTGTGTGTGTGTGTGTGTGCATATGTACATGAGTGTGCATGTATGTGTGTGTACACTGTTTGGGATAGCGTGGTCATAGAAGGCCTCATGAAGAAGGTAACCTTGAGCAGAGACCTACAGGATGTGAAGGAAAGAGCTATGCCGACATTTGTGAGAATATTCCAGGCAGGAGGGAGAGCCAGTGCAAAGGCCCTGAGGCAGAAGTTGGTTTGGTGTATTTGCAGAACTGCACAGAAGTCAGTGTGGCTGGAGGAGAGTGGGAGCCTATGAGGTCAGAGAGGCCACAGAGGGCCTAGTAGGTCATCAGACAGTTTCAGGTTTTACAGAATGTAAAGGGGGAGCCACTGGAGGGCCTGAGCAGAGAAGAGATGTCATCTGACTTACATTCGAAAAGGAAGGATCTTTCTGGCTGCTGTGTTGAGAAAATGTGGGTGGGAGTAGAAAGAGGAAATGAGAGACAGCTGGGCACGGTGGCTTACACCTGTAATCCCAGAACTTTGGGAGTCCGAAGTGGGTAGATCATGAGGTCAAGAGATTGAGACCGTCCTGGCCAGCATGGTGAAACCTCGTCTCTACTAAAAATCAAAAATTAGCTAGGTGTGGTGGCGCATGCCTATAATCCCAGCTACTTGGGAGGCTGAGGCAGGAGAATCACCTGAACCAGGGAGGTGGAGGTTGCAGTGAGCTGAGATGGTGCCACTGCACTCCAGCCTGGGTGGCAGAGCAAGACTCCATCTCAAAGAAAAAAAAAAAAAAAAAGGCTGGGCACGGTGGCTCACACCTGTAATCCCAGCACTTTGGGAGGCTGAGGCAGTCAGATCACCTGAGGTTCGGAGTTCGAGACCAGCCTGACCAATATGGTGAAAACCTGTCTCTATAAAAAGACAGAGAGAGAGAGAGGGATGAGAGACTAGAGTGATCTTCCAGGAGAGAGGATGACTGGGACACGCAGTTGAGGTAGTGACCAAGGGGTGGCAGCCACTCCACATATTCCCAGGGTAGAGCTGATGGGATTTGCTGATGGACTTAAATGAGGGATACGAAAGAAAGAGAAGATCCAAAGAGGACGCCAAGGTTTCTGGCCTGAGCAGCAGCGGAGGTGCCGCTGACTGACAGAGGAGCCTGGGGAAAGACCCCATCTGGGATAATTCAAGAGTTTTCTTTTGGACATATTAAACTGGAGAGGGCTCAGGAAAAAGCGCCCAAGGAGGGAAAGATCGCAACCAATCCAGTTGCAGAAGGATGTTCAGAACAAGTTTGTTTTTGTATTTTTGGCTTTTTTGTTTTGTTTTTGAGACGGTGTCTCACTCTGTCACCTAGGCTGGAGTGCAGTGGCACCATCTCAGCTCACTGTGACCTCTGCCTCCCGGGTTCAAGAGATTCTCCTGCCTCAGCCTCTCAAATAGCTGGGATTACAGGCACCCACCACCATACCCCGCTAATTTTTGTATTTTTAGTGGAGATGGGGTTTCACCATGTCGGTCAGGCTGGTCTTGAACTCCTGACCTTGTGATCCTCCTGCCTTGGCCTCCCAAAGTGCTGGGATTACAGGCATGAGCCATTGTGCCCAGCCGTATTTTTGTTTTTGAGATGGAGTCTTGCTCTTGTCATCCAGGCCGGAGTGCAATGGCACGATCTCAGCTCACTGTAACATCAGTCTCCCAGGTTCAAGCAATTCTCCTGCCTCAGCCTCCCAGGTTCAAGCAATTCTCCTGCCTCAGCCTCCCAGGTTCAAGCAATTCTCCTGCCTCAGCCTCCCAAGTAGCTGGGATTACAGGCACCCACCATCACACCCGGCTAATTTTTGTACTTTTAGTAGAGACAGGGTTTAACCATGTTTGCCAGGCTAGTCTCAAACTCCTGACCTCATGATCCACCCGCATCGGCCTCCCAAAATGCTGGGAATACAGGCATGAGGCACCATGCCCAACAGAGCGGTGATTTTTTAATAGTCTTTAAGTTTTTTATTTTTTATCCCAGATTTTTGAATTTTGTTGTTGCTTTTTGTCGGGGCGGGGCAGAGCAGAGACAGGCCCTTGCTGTGTCACCCAGGCTGAGCCCAGTGCACTCACAGCTCACTGCAGCCTAGACTTCCCAAGATCGAGCAATCCTCCCACCTCAGCCTCCTGAGTAGTTGAGACTACAGGTGAGCACCACCACGCCCAGCTAATTTTTATTTTTGAATTGTTTTGGTAGAGTCAAGTTTTTGCTGTGGTACCCAGGCTGGTTCACAAACTCCTGAGCTCAAGCAATCTTTCCACCTCAGCCTCCTGAGTAGCTGGGACTACAGGCATGCACCCTACACCCAGTGGCTAATTTGGTTTTTTTTTGTTTTTGTTTTTGTTTTTGAGACAGAATCTTGCTCTGTCACTTAGGCTAGAGTGCAGTGATGTGATCTCAGCTCACTGCAACCTCCACCTCCCAGGTTCAAGCAATTCTCCTGCCTCAGCCTCCTGATGAGCTGGGATTATAGGTGTGTACCACCATGCCTGGCTAATTTTTCTATTTTTAGTAGAGACAGAGTTTCATTATGTTGGCCAGGCTGGTCTCGAACTCCTAACTTCAGGTGATCCACCCACTCGGCCTCCTGAAGTGCTGGGATTACAGGCATGAGCCACTGCACCTGGCCTGAATATTTTTTTTTGTAGAGACAATGTATTAATGCATTCTCACATTGCTAATAAAGACATACCTGAGAATGGGTAATTTATAAAGGAAAGAGGTTTCATTGACTCACAGCTCAGCATGGCTGGAGAGGTCTCAGGAAATTACAGTCATGGCAGAAGGGAAAGGAAACACATCCTTCTTCACATGGCAGCAGCAAGAAGTGCAGAGCAAAAGGGCTGGGGGAGCCCCTTATAAAACCATCAGATCTCGTGAGAATTCCTCACTATCTCGAGAACAGCATGGGGGTAACCACCCTCTTGATTCAATTACCTCTCACTAGGTCCCTCCTATGGCATGTGGGGATTATGGGAACTACAATTCAAGATGAGATTCGGGTGGGGACGCAGCCAAACCATATCAGACGGGATTTGGCCACATTGCCCAGGCTGGTCTCGAACCCCTGGGCTCAACCGGTCCTCCTGCCTTGGCCTCCCAAAGTGTTGGGATTACAGTCATGAATCACTGTGCTTGGCCTGATTTTTTTTAAATATACATTGCATTAAAATGTTTTTTTATCTTGATGGCTGAGGTTTTAGGTGTCTCCTTAAGTTTTGCACCTGAGTCGAATGCCTCACTTCCCCTTACGCTTGTCCCAGCCCTGTTCTTGGGAAACTGGAGTGCAGGAAGGCCCTGCTCTTTCGGCCACAGCCACAGAGCTCCTGTGCTTCTCCCCAGGCCTCTCTGCAGTACAGCTCCAATGGCCAGTGGCGCCACACCTGCGGAGGGTCTCTGATAGCCAACAACTGGGTCCTGACGGCTGCCCACTGCATCAGGTAACTGCCATTCCCTAGGCACTTGGCCTGCTCACCAGCCGGTGCCCATTTCTGAGCTGGGGGCTCATGCTACATAAAGGAGCCTTGCAAATAACCACTTGCCTGGCCGAGACACAAGCAGTAGTCAGTCGATGGTTCAGTGTGCTGGCCCATTGATGTTAGTACATGGCATGGATGGATCGTCCTGTGCCAGGTACTGAGGGAGGAAGAGGAGAGGGGGAAGGCCCAACCTCTGCCCTCTTGGAGATACTAAATGTGGCCTCTGGATCTGGAATTGGGTTCCCTTGAACAACTTAACTCACTTCTCAAAGCTTCAATACCATCACGTGCAGAAAATGAGGTAACAGAATTTAGCGTGGATTCGATGAGTTGATTCATTAAAGGGCCTGGCACTTAGTAAGTGCTCAGTGAAAACTAATTCTAAATTATAGACGAATTATAAAGGCCCACAAGGTGCTGCAACGTTGTTCACTTACCCTCCTCTTTGTCCGTGACCTCTGCTCATCACAGCAGGATCTCACCGGAGTTTCTGCTGGGTCAGTGTGACTCCCTACCCGGAGTGGTCCCTTCTCCCATCTAATTTATAAGGCGTTCTATGAGGTTTTGGGGAAAATAATGGAGGCCTACAGTCAGGAGTCCTGGCTTCTCTCTAACTGTGGGACTCGGGGCCAGTTATTCCTCTGTGGGCCTCAGTTTCCCTATCTGAAAAGGAAAGGTGGGAAAAATTCCCGTGAAGGCAAATGACTCCTGTTTTCTCTGTGTTCATTTCATTCCCTCCATAATACTAAAACGTTTGTGTTATTATAATTTTTATTTTATGTTGTCATTTATAGTTAGCACAGGAACAATTATATGGTCATAGTTCTTACATTGTATGGTCTCTATTGTAATTAACTGACTGTCCTGGGGAGGAAAGATCCCCAAGCCCCGCCTAGTGGCTCACACAGCGGCCAGTCACTTGGATCTATCCCCAGCATTACCTAAAGCCAGGCCTCTGGAGGTGACCCTCTCCTCGGGCCCTCCTTTCTCCCAGCTCCTCCAGGACCTACCGTGTGGTGCTGGGCCGGCAAAGCCTCTCCACTGAGGAGACCGGCTCGCTGGCTGTCAAGGTCTCTACCATTGTGGTGCACAAGGACTGGAACTCCAGCCAGCTCTCCAAAGGGTTCGTTGCTGTCTGGGTGCACCTGGGGGTGGGGTTGTCAGGGAACAGATGGGGATCTCACAGAGGCAAGGGTCTCAACCCCACCACGCCCCCTTTGCTTCTTCTATAGGAAGGGGGAAGGAGCTCTGGCCTCTTCGAGGCAGAACTCGCTCCAAAGACGCCTGGGGTGGGGATGGGAGCTGGGGAGGGAGAAGCAAAGTCTACCAGAGGGATCTGGGGGTCCGGCCAGTAAAGCCTGCACTGCCCCGTCCGCTGACTGTGTAGCTACTTCATGCCAAGTCCTGGGGACACAGGGACAGTGCTGCCGACCTCGCAACTGTCAGTGGAGCAGGGCACAGTCTCTCCCGCCTTGCCCCTTTCAACAAGGCCCTCTGCGTTTTTAAAGATGCCCTGGTGCCCTGCCTGTCAGGGTGGCCTGGTGTAATGTACAGGGAATGATGACAAGGTCTCAGAGTCCTCCAAAGCCCCACGGGGCAGAAGAAGTCAACCCTGTCCTCATGCTCTGCCTCTGCACTGACCCAGGAACGACATTGCCATGCTCAAACTGGCTAACCCCGTCTCCCTCACCAACAAGATCCAGCTGGCCTGCCTCCCTCCTGCCGGCACCATCCTACCCAACAATTACCCCTGCTATGTCACGGGCTGGGGAAGGCTGAAGAGTAAGTGAGACCCAGGAGCCCTCAGGCCTGGGAGGGAAGGGAGGTGACGTCACCCCTGTCCTGCCAGGGCCTCTCACCTAACTTGTCCTTGCAGGGTGTGTGGCTGCCTTGGAGAGGCAGGATGGGATAGGCTGATCTCTGCGTGGGTTCAAATGTCAGCTCTTCCACTTAATAACTGTGACACCCTGGGCACATTACTAAGTCTCTCCGTCTGCACTTTTTTCTTCTATAAAATGCGTATAATTGGCCAGGAGTGGTGCTGCACGCCTGTAATCCCAGCACTTTGGGAGGCCGAGGTGGGTGGATCACTTGAGGTCAGGACTTCGAGACCAGCCTGACCAACATGGTGAAACCCTGTCTCTCCTAAAAATATTTTTTAAATTGGCAGGGCATGGTGGTGTGTGCCTATAATCCCAGCTACTCGGGAGGCTGAGGCACAAGAATCACTTGAACCCAAGAGGTGGAGGTTGCAGTGAGCCGAGGTCACGCCGCTGCACTCCAGCCTGGGCAACTGAGCGAGACTCAGTCTAAAAAACCGGGGGAGCATGATAATAGCACCGACATCACAGAGCTGTCAAGAGGGTTAAAGGAGATAATCCATAGCAAGCCTTGAGACCAGTGCTGGCACACGGTAGGTGCTATACATTAGTTGTTGTCACTGTTCCTATGATGGAAAGAAAGTTACAGAGACCATGTGACATCTTCTGTATGGCCCAAGGCTGGAGTTCAGAACAGCATTTCCTCTGTGACCTGAGGCCTCTGGAGCTCCACAAAGGCCCCTGCAACCCTCATTGGACCCTCCACACCCCACAGCAAAAGCTGTCCCCCAGGCCATTCGGTCTTGCTACTCAGAACCTGGCTGAGGGTGGGAATTCTTTGACACAGACTCCAAGGGTCAGAGATCCAATGACATTAGGCCACCAAGAGGAACAGAGTTCCCACCCTTCCCTTGTAAAATCACCAAAGGTTGGAAGATTCTAGGAAGGAGATGAGTGATGCTTTTTTCATAATGACATAAACCCACAAGTATAATGACATTTTTCTAGAGGCACATCCACATAGGTACACTCGAATAAATCCTCACTGCCCTCTTGACTGGTGTAGCTGCAAAACAAGGACACATAAAATTCTGAGATGAGTGATGGTGAAAGCGGCATTTTATGCTTATTAAGATATTAGCACAACCACCTGTTTATTTCCCCAGAAAACCCTGGGGCAGATGCATTTCATCTGCGACAGTGAGAGCGGGGAAGCATCCAAATGCTTGGCTTTTAGGCCCAGTTCTGCCGGTCACTGTGAAACCTTGGGCAAGCCACTTCTGAATCTCAGTTTCCTCATCTGTAAAATGAGAACACTGTTGGTGAAGACTGAAAGAGGTGAAACATGAAAATGCATCAGACACTGCAAGACGTTATACAAGTGTTACTTATTAATTAGAGAGGTCTTCCCCCCCACCCCACTCTTGTTGTCCAGGCTGGAGTACAATAGCATGATCACTGCTCACTGCAACCTCTGCCTGCCAGGTTCAAGCAATTCTCCTGCCTCAGTAGCTGGGATTATAGTCATGTGCCACCACACTCAGCTAATTTTGTATTTTTATTAGAGATGGGGTTTCACCATGTTGGTCAGGCTGGTACTGAACTCCTGACCTCAGGCGATCCACCCACCTTGGCCTCCCAAAGTGCTGAGATTACAGGCATGAGCCACTGCACCCAGCCAATTAGAGTGGTCTTAAGCAAGACATTTAACTTCCCGATATCATTCCACTTCACTCCAGCCTTGGAGACAGCGTCTTGCTCTGTCACCCAGGCTGGAGTGCAGTGGATTGATCTCGGCTCACTGCAACCTCCACCTCCCAGGTTCAAGCGATTCTCCTGCCTCAGCCTCCCGAGTAGCTGGGATTACAGGCGTGCGCCATCACACCTGGCTAATTTTTGTATTTTGGTAGAGACGGGGTTTCGCCATGTTGGCCAGGCTGGTCTCGAACTCCTGACCTCAAGTGATCCTCCTGCTTTGGCCTCTCTAAGTGCTGGGGTTAGAGGGTTAGCCACTGCTCCCGACAGATGCTTAATTTCCCTAGGCTTCAATCGCAAGTGAACGATTATGTTAATCTAATCCTTGCCACCATAGCTGTGGTAACAGCAATGGAGGTGATGGTGGCTTTGCACTGGGGGCCATTATGAAAGCCCTACCTTCACCACACCAAGATATTTTTCCCAAGTAGGGGGCTCTAACTGCCAGCAGGCTCACTTTCTTCTTTCAGATAAATGACAGAAAGCCATGGATCTAGCTCAGCCAAAAAAAAAAAAAAGGTGGGGGGAATTGTTATAAGGATTTAAAAGTTTCAACCCTTGGATAACATTGAAACAAGGTCAAATTCTGAAAAAGAAAAAAAAAATTTCAACCCCAGGGCAGAGATATAGCCAGGCATCAGGAGCAGGATAGAATCAGGGTCTGAAAGCCTGTAAGAAACTCGAGACCCTCCCTTAGAATTTCTTTTTTTTGTGGGTCTACTTCATTCTCTACATAGAAGAAAATGTCAGTCATGGCCAACAGCTTCTCAGATTTACCTCCTCTGGAACCGGAATTTCTTAGTGCTCGTCTCAAAATCCCAGGGGAGGGAGCTCATTGGCTTAGCTTGAGTCAGGTGTTCACTGCCGAACCAATCAACTGTGAGGACACAGTATAGCCAAACATGGCTGTTCCCATGTTGCAATGGATGGAAGACAGTGACAGGGAAACCCAGTAGGGTCCACAACTTCCTTTTTCTTGGAGTTCCTGCATCCCTAATACTTTGTCTCTGGTCTCATTCAGCCAACGGGGCTGCTCCTGACATCCTGCAGCAGGGCCGGTTGCTGGTTGTGGACTATGCCACCTGCTCCAGTTCTGGCTGGTGGGGCAGCACCGTGAAGACCAATATGGTCTGCGCTGGGGGTGATGGCGTGATCTCCAGCTGCAATGTGAGTACCAAAAATCAGGTACCCTGCTCCATGACAAAATGTGGCTGGGATGGAAAAAGGCTATGGAGGCCCATCCCTCCAGAGGTCCATCCTCCCACCTCCTGGCAGAAGCACCCAGAAATACGTTCCAGACATAATAGAACCTGACTTTTGGCTGGGCGCAGTGGCTCATGCCTGTAATCCCAGCACTTTGGGAAGCCGAGGAGGGAGGATCACTTGAGGTCAGCAGTTCGAGACCAGCCTGGCCAACATGGTGAAAAACCCCGTCTTTACTAAAAATACAAAAATTAACCAGGCGTGATGGCAGGCGCCTGTAGTCCCAGCTACTCGGGAGGCTGAGGCAGGAGAATCACTTGAACACAGGAGGTGGAGGCTGCAGTGAGCCGAGATCGCACCACTGCATGCATTCCAGCCTGGGTAACAGAGCAAGACTCAAAAACAACAACAACAAAACACCTGGCCTTTGTTTTTGTTTTGAGATGTTTTGAGATTTCTCCTTGTAGTGACGACCCATCTCACTGCTGGGAAGACCTTCCCTGGGTCTCATCAAGGTCTCTCGTGACTGCTATTCTGTATCCTTTCCTCTGTGCAGGAAGGGAGCCAAAGGAAAGTATTCCCTGGGTTAGGGCCTTTCTAAGATGACTCATGGTGTCTCTGTTGAATTACTTTCATTAATGGCCCAGTGTGTTTCCTTCAGGTAGCTGCCATGGAAGCCTTCCTGGAAGCCTTTTCTTAACCAAAAGGAATTGCTCTGTGGTAGACTTAGCAGTGAAGCGGGGATGGAGCAGGAAGGAGTTCCACCACCCTTCAGATCACACTGTGCCCCTTATATATTCTGCCCACATAGCCTACCCCACCCCCAGGAAGACAGAGCCAATGGAGAAGAGCCTGGCAGCTCAACTCTGGGATGTGGTCTCAGCTCCCTTACAAACTGCCTGTGCAACCTTGGGCAAGTCCCAGTCACTCAGGACTCCAGTTTTTCCTCTTCAGTGGCCTGGGGATGCTACGAACATTTCCCTCATAGGATTCTGTGAGGATTAATGAGATAAGGCATCGAACATGCTTAGCTCAGCTGTGGGCACACAGGAAGAATAAGTGCTGGCTCTTGTTGGAATTATGGTACCATCTTGAGCTATGACCACAAGGGCCGGCTTCAGAGAACAGTGACCTGCAGCAGAACAATAGAAATGCATGGAGAGGCCAGGCGCGGTGGCTCACGCCTGTAATCCCAGCACTTGGGGAGGCCAAGAAGGGCAGATCATGAGGTCAAGAGACTGAGACCATCCTGGTCAACATGGTGAAACCCCATCTCTACTAAAAATATGAAAATTAGCTGAGGGTGGTGGCATGTGCCTGTCATCCCAGCTACTCAGGAGGCTGAGGCTGGGGAATCACTTGAACCCGGGAGGCAGAGGTTGCAGTGAGCCAAGATCGCGCCACTGCATTCCAGCCTGGTGACAGAGCGAGTCTCTGCCTCAAAAAAAGAAAGAAAGAAATGCATGGAGATCAGTGGTTCCAATGGACAGTTCCTTCCTCTCCCTTTACCCCCCTACAATTCTGGCCTTCCTCAGGGAGACTCCGGCGGGCCGCTGAACTGCCGTGTGGCTGACGGCCATTGGGAGGTGCACGGCATCGTCAGCTTCGGGTCCTCCCTCGGCTGCAACTACTACCACAAGCCCTCCGTCTTCACGCGGGTCTCCAACTACATTGACTGGATCAATTCGGTAAGAACCGGACCAGCCCTGAGCCCCAGGGCACTGCCCTGCACTCCCGGCCTCATGAGTGCCATGCCCACCTGGTGACTGAGAACCGCCTCCTTCCTCTTGAGAGCTAGATGGGAACCCCTTGGAGGAGGCTGCAGACCTTGGCAACTGCTGGGCCCTCGCATGGGTCCGCAAAATTTCTATGTGGTAAAACTGAATGAAAAGGAACATAGAGGGTGGCCTCGTCCAAAGAGTTTGGACACTCCTCAGGGATTAAGAGTGGGTTTCAGCCCGGGCATGGTAGCTCATGCCTGTAATTCCAACACTTTGGGATCCTGAGGTGGGTAGATCAGCTGAGGTCAGGAGTTTGAGACCAGCCTGGCCAAGATGGCAAAACTCCATCTCTACTTAAAAAATACAAAAAAAATTAGCCAGGCGTGGTAGTGCACACCTGTAATCCCAGCTACTTGGGAGGCTGACGCAGGAGAATCCCTTGAACCTGGGAGATGGAGGTGGCAGGTAGCAGTGAGCCGAGATTGCACCACTGCACTCCAGCCTGAGCAAGAAGAGTAAAACTCCGTTTAAAAAGAAATGAGTGGCTTCCATAGAAATGGTGATTTTATTTTTGTACATCTGTGTGTGGCCCAGACTGTACCATCCAGTGCTATAAATGGTTATGTTTATCTGCAAAGTCCCAAACCTGATACTTTGAGACCCACCCCCCATAGTATTAATTATGGAACTTCCTCCCTGGAGGGTCCTCCAGCTATTCTGTAAGGTGACCAACCATCCCAGTTTGCCCAGGGCTGAGAGGTTTTCCAGGATGTAGGGCTACCTGCTTTACACTGGGACCATCCCAGGCAAATAAAGCTGAGTTGGTCCCCCATTCTTTTTTTTTTTTTGAGACGGAGTTTCGCTCTTGTTACCCAGGCTGGAGTGCAATGGCGCAATCTCGGCTCACCGCAACCTCCGCCTCCTGAGTTCAGGCAATTCTCCTGCCTCAGCCTCCTGAGCAGCTGGGATTACAGGCACGGGCCACCATGCCCAGCTAATTTTTTGTAGCTTTAGTAGAGACGGGGTTTCACCGTGTTGACCAGGATGGTCTCGATCTCTTGACCTCGTGATCCACCCGCCTCGGCCTCCCAAAGTGCTGGGATTACAGGCTTGAGCCACCACGCCCGGCTGGTCCCCCATTCTTATAAATGTAAACTCAGAGAGTTGTCTCCTCTGAGCTTCCACACTAACTCATTTTTTTTTTAACAATGAACACACATTTGTTTACAACAATAAGCATTAAAATTATTTATTAAAAACAAAAGGCCAGGTGCCGTGGTTCACACCTGTAATCACAGTACTTTGGGAGGCCAAGGAGGGAAGATTGCTTGAGCCCAGGAGTTCAAGACCAGCCTGGGCAACATAGCAAGACTCTGTCTTAACAAAAAAAAATTTTCAAGTTAGTCAGACATGGCTGGGTGCAGTGACTCACCCCTGTAATCCCAGCACTTTGGGAGGCCAAGGTGGGCAGATCACCTGAGGTTGGGAGTTCGAGACCAGCCTGACCAACATGGAGAAACCCTGTCTCTACTAAAAATACAAAATTAGCTGGTGTGGTGGTGCATGCCTGTAATCCCAGCTACCCAGGAGGCTGAGGCAGGAGAATCGCTTGAACCCAGAGGCAGAGGTTGCAGTGAGCCGAGATCGCACCACTGCACTCCAGCCTGTGCAACAAGAGCAAAACTCCATCTCAAAAATAAAAATAAAAATAAGCCAGGCATGGTAGTGTGTGCCTGTAGTCTCAGCTGCTTGGGAGGCTTGGGTGGAAGGATCGCTTGGGCCCCCGAGGCCAAGATTACAGTGAACCAAGGTCACACCACTCCAGCCTGGGCAGCATAGCAAGACTCTGTCTCTGAAAATAATGACAGTAATAGCTGGCATCAATATTAAGGAGCAGCCATGGATACACACAGCAGTAGGTGAAAGCAGCCAGAACAGGAAACCCTGTCACAAGAAAGGGGTGCCCGGGAGAGGGCAGAGGAACCACCATGCCTGGTAAGGGATGCTGGGAGGGAAAAGGACCCTCTGTGCTGATTATGGACTACCTCGGTTTGCTCTCCTGTAAAATGGGACTTGAACTAGACCAGGACTCCTCAACATTTTTAGGCACTAGAACAAATGGGAGTTGTGGTATTTGTGGCAGAGACCCCAAAGAAGGGGAAAGCTGGCATCTGACTTCACTGTTTAATTTGCAGAGAAGTGTCAAACTGAATTAATCTGACACTTATAAAACCAAATATGAAACTGCAGCCATGAGCATGTGGTCACAGGAGGAAAACGAAATTGTCAAAATAAGCAGGTGGCCGCTTTCAAGTTTTCCCATTGATTCTTGCCAGCTCCTTGTTCATTTGTCTGTCTGCTGGCATCTTTTTGCCATCAAGTGGTCACAGACAGAGAATCCAAAAAAGTTTGTTGGAGAAAATTGGAAAATCAAAAAGACAGTAGCCATTAGTCATTAATTGGTGCCATATATATATATATATATATACACACACACAGAGAGGAGAGAGAGAGAGAGAGAGAGAGAGCGCGAGCGCGCGCTGAATTGGTACCACCCGCATGTCAAAGGAGCCTGGCCTGAGACTGGGCGAAAGGCTGCTTAGGGGCCTTTCCCAGCCAAATCCTGAGACCCTTTTCCAGCCCCAGCTGCTGTAGGAGTCACTGTCCAGCTGGTCCTGGCAGCACCCTGGGGACCTGAAGCAGGGGCAGGGACAATTGTCCCAATTTGTTGTCCCAGCCTCAGCTGTTCACAGTATCAGCTGTTCCCAGCAACAGACACAAGCCCAACAGAGCAGGCCAGATCCCGAAGCATGGCCAGATGGTAGCAGGGATCCGTGGGGCAGCACGCCTCGCAAGGCAGCTGGGCAGAGGCCCTGTGTTCATGGGAGAACAGTCGGGACAGGCACAGATGCCTGGTAATGGGTTTCAGAAGTGGGAGAGCCAAGCAACCAGCTGTCCTTGGGTGGGGGCTGCCCCTGGCAGCTGCAGAGGGGCTAGTGAAATCTTGCAGTGGCCCCAACCCAGGGACACACTGTGTGCAGCCTGGAGTCACATACCACTAGAGCCCTGGGGGTGCCTGAGAGTACCTGCCTGGATAAACCCAGACAGGTGACAAGCCAAGGTCAGGAAGTGCCAACAAAAGATAAGGGCAGAGAAGCAGAGGAGACAGGTGGCCTGGGGCACTCGTCCTTTCAACAAATGTCCATTGAATGACAGCTACACATGAACCTTCAGCAATCCTTAGCTTTTTTTTCCCACAAGGTAACACATACTCTTTGTAAAAATATTAAAAGAATATAAGAGTGTATCAAGTAAAAAAAGTAGAAGTCTCCCCTCATTTTACATCTCCAATCCCACTCTCCAGAGGTAATCATTGTTTTGGGGTTTTTTTTCAGTGTCTCATTCTGTTGCCAGGCTGGAGTGCAGTGGCTCGATCTTGGCTCACTGCAACCTCCACCTCTCGGGTTCAAGTGATTCTCCTGCCTCAGCCACCTGAGTAGCTGGGATTACAGGCACGCACCACCACGTCCAGCTAATTTTTGTATTTTTAGTAGAGACAGGGTTTCACCATGTTAGCCTGGGCTTGTCTCGAACTCCTGACCTCAGGTGATCCGCCTGCCTCAGCCTCCCGAAGTGCTGGAATTATAAGCATGAGCCACTGTGCCCCACCAATCATTGTTAACAGCTCAGTGTGTGGTCTTCTCAACTTTATGTGCATATATATCTATATATATATATAGATATACACTGTCTTTTAACCAAAACTTGAGATCTGAGTCTTTAAACTGTTCTGCAGCTTTTTTTCACTTAACACATTATCACATTTTACATGTCAGTACATTCGTGTCATTCTTTTGAACAGCTAAATAGTATTCCATAGTTTGAATATAATTAATGAAGCCTTCGTGTTTCCTGTTTTTCACTCTTACATTGTGCAGTGAACATCTTTGGACATAATTCTTGCACACTGGTCTAAGTATTTATGCTGTAGCAGCTGGATCTCCTGCAGTTCACAGCACTGAATCATGAAATTGGCAAACTAAAATGTTTAACAGGCCAGGCGCTGTGGCTCATGCCTGTAATCCCAGCACTTTGGGAAGCTGAGGAGAGTGGATCACTTGAGGTCAGCAGTTTGAGACCAGGCTGGCCAACATGGGAAAACCCCTAAAAATGCAAAAAAAATCAGCCAGGCATGATGGTGTGCGCCTGTAATCTCAGATACTTGGGAGGCTGACGCAGGAGAATCACTTGAACCTGGGAGGCAGAGATTGCTGTGAGCTGCGATCAAGCCAATGCACTCCAGCCTGGGCAACAGAGCAAGACTCCGTCTCAAAAAAAAAAAAGACACAGATCAACAGCCTCTGGAAATGGTTATAGCCCCAACCACAGCGCATAACTGCCTTGCAAACAGTAGTTTTGATTTGAGAAACAAATGAAATCTAAATATATGCCATCCACACATTTGGCATGTAATTTTTAGGGGTTCAAAGGCCCCTACCCTGAAGGCCACACCTGTCTAAGGCCCCTTTTACAGGAAGATTCTAACAGTTCAATGAAAAGCTGTGATCACGTCTTTTTTTCCGAAACATCATCAGAACTCCTCCGGCAGGAGCTACTGCAGTGTGGGCTGCCTGTGACTCATGTGAATAGCTTAGCCAGGAGGATAAAGATGGGAACAGCCTCACAGCTCTGTGGCTAGGTGAACCTGACGATCTTCTTGTTTGTGTCCTGCAGGTGATTGCAAATAACTAACCAAAAGAAGTCCCTGGGACTATTTCAGACTTGGAAACATCACAGAAGGAAAACGGTATCATATAAAGTGACAACTATGCAAATCACACCTTGATGAGAATTTTATTATCATCATTATTCATTTAGCAATTCACCCTAACATCCAGGGCCCTAAAAACCAGAAATAGGTCAGGCGCAATGGCTCAAGCCTGTAATCCCTGCACTCTGGGAGGCTAAGGCAGGCAGATCTTAGGTTCAGGAGTTCAAGACCAGCCTGAGTAACATGACATAACCCTGTCTGTACTAAAAGTACAAAAATTAACTGGGTGAGGTGGTGCACACCTGTAGTCCCAGATACTCAGGAGGCTGAGGTGGGAGGATTGCTTGGGCTCAGGAGACTGAAGTAAGCCAGGATTGCATCATTGCACTCCAGCCTGCATGACAGAGTGAGACCCTGTCTCCAAGAAGAAAAGACCAAAAAACAAGAAATAGGCTGGCATAAGGATAGCTTAAAAGACCTCAGGGTGAGGCCTTCTGGGGAAGCCCAACGTGTCACTATTGCACAGCACGGTCATACTACACTCAGGGGGTGCTTCGGCAAGCAAGGCACATGGGAGGCATGGCTGGGATTCAGGAGACCCAGGTTCCAGCCAGGTTGTTTCTCTGGATAACTGTTACCTTGGACAAGAGACCTAGCCTCCCTGAGCACAAGGTTCTCACCCTTATTGCCTTCCTGGGATGGGATAGGGATCAAGTGAAATAAGACATGGAGAAATGGGGCTGGGTGCAATGATGCATGCCCGGGGATAGTTAGAGCTACTTGGGAGGATCACTTGAGCCCAGGAGTTTGAGATCAGCCTGGGCAATACAGTGAGACCCCCGTTTTTTAAAAAGCAGAAGTCTGTTTTATAAGGAAGAACAAAGAGTTGGAGCAAAACGAGGGAAGAAATAGGCAAAAGAGAGTCCACATTTGCCTAAGATTTATTTCTTAAGATTAATGCAATATAGGAAAAATTAACAATTTTTAAAACTTCATTTAGAATTCACAGATTACAGCTGTTCAGACTCCAGTAGGCCCCAGCTCACTGATCCATGAGAGATACTGGTTTGTGTGTAGCCCAAAATCCCTACAGATCAGTGGGTGCCGGGTGCCAGGTGAGGAAAGTTTTATAGCCCAGCACGTATTTGGCAACGCCTGAAGAGCACCACTCAGGGAGATATTGTTACTGGCATTGAGGTGAGGGACAGTGCTGAACATCCCACAACACACGGGACAACCTCACAGCAAAGGATGACCTGGCCCCACATGTCAGTAGCGCAGAGGTTAATCCCTGTTCTACAGAGAACACAGGACACAGTCACTAGCCCCAGACCAGCCACTGCTCAAGAGGCCACATGCAATCCATAGCATTCATCTGTCCCTCTTCCTCCACTGTTCAGCACTTGTCGCCAATCTGGAAGCTGCTAAGAGCCTGCCTGTCACTGGCAGAGAGAGCAGACCCTGTGCCGGCCGCAAAGCCCTTGAGTTGCAGGAAAGGTCCAGGTCTCAGCCGCTTGCAGGCCTAAGGTAGGAGGGCTTTGGAGTGCAAGAAAAGGCAGGGTGAAGGACTCTGGCCTTATGACGTTTTAAAGAAAAGTTTTTTCCGGAGGAAATTAAAGAAACCAGGCATCTGTTTATAAATCCCTTTCCCCGAAACAGCATTAGCGACCTGTAAGACATGACCATGGAGAGGTCTGTGAGTTCAGTTCTCTGGACTGAAGGAAGAATTCAAGAGGGGCTGGGGGGAATGTCCATTCAATCCACACCTTAAAAACAACTCAGGCCGGGTGCAGTGGCTCACATCTGTAATCCCAGCACTTTGGGAGGCCAAGGTGGGCAAATCATGAGGTCAGGAGTTCGAGACCAGCCTAGCCAACATGATGAAACCCCGTCTGTACTAAAAATACCAAAAATAAGCTGGGCATAGTGGCGGAAGCCTGTAATCCCAGCTACTCAGGAGGCTGAGGCAGAACTGCTTGAACCCGGGAGGTGGAGGTTGAAGTGAGCTGAGATCATGCCACTGCTCCAGCCCTGATGAAAGAGTGAGACTTCACCTCAAAACAAAATAAAACAAAAGGGCTGGGCACGGGGGCTCACTCCTGTAATCCCAGCACTTTGGGAGGCCAAGGCAGGTGGATCACAAGGTCAGGAGTTGGACACCAGCCTGACCAATATGGCGAAACCCTGTCTCTACTAAAAATACAAAAATCAGCTGGGCAAGGTGGTGCGGGCCTGTAGGCCCAAGTACACAGGAGGCTGAGGCAGGAGAATCGCTTGAACCTGGGAGGTGGAGGTTGCAGTGAGCTGAGATCATGCCACTGCACTCCAGCCTGGGTGACAGAGCAAGACTCCATCTCAAAAAAAAAAAAAAAAAAAAGCTCAAACTGTAGCCTCTTTGAGCAGGGGGACTTAAAGAACAAGCACCTCGACTGTAACTTTAAAAAACTCAAAATTCAAAATTTCCAAATTCATAAAGTTCAGGTCAGACTGAAATTATCTGCAAGAAAAAAAATGAAGGGATCAGAACCAAGAGCTGAAAGCACTGCTTATTAGCACTGATTGTCCCCACCCCACGCTGCAAGGCCCCAGGCTATCCCAGACTCCCTTGCCCAAGGCCGTGTCACCCAGTGGCTGGGAGCTGTGCCAGGGGCCACCCAGAGCCTACTTGTCTTCTCCTCCTACTGCTCAGCAAAGCACAGGGCCAAATCCTCCCGTAGGAGCAAGGCGTGGCCCTAGCCCTGCAGCGCCTCCCCATGGCATGAATACCTGAGCAGAGCAGGAGGGGCCCACACACGCTGCTTCCCCAAGGCAGCCACAGGCTATGCAACCCTCTGAAGAAGCAACTGCCTGAGTGGGGTTTCCATGGAGTACTTTCACCCTCAGGCCACCCTTCCCTGTCTGTTTCGTCACTGGGGCCTCCTGACAAGGGGATGTGCGAGGAGGGGTTCAGAATTCTTGAGGGTCAAGAGTAGAAGACTGTGCTACAAGGTGTGGGGAGGGGCCCATGACCCGCCTTCAGGGTCTGGACAGAGCCATAGTGCCAGCACTGAGGACCAGCTCCATCAGTGGAGGAGCAGGAGGTGTCAACCTGGGGACTCTGGAGAAGGCAAGGAAGGCAGCTCTTTGAATGAAGGGCAGATGTCACCACAGGCAGGAATGCCTCTCATAAAGAGACATAAAAGTGACGACTCTCGTGGCAAGCCAAGGCTGAGAGGCAGGAGTCTACTACCTTTTACCCTTGGTTTGGGCCTGCCCTGCTCACCCCCGAATCCCCAGCCCCAGGAGGATACGCTGCCCCTCAGCAGCCTCCCCTCTCCTTTGCAGAGGAAGGCAGCACTCACCCTGAGCAGCAGGGACTGCAGGTCTTCAGAGTGAGCCCAGTGCTCAAAGATGTCGTCCAGGGTCTCCACATACCAGGAACCTCTCTTGGGCTCCCTCCAGGAGACAAAACCTTTGGAGGGAGGAGGGCTGAACACTGCTGGAGAGCCACCCCCGGCCAGGCACGCGGCTCGGGCGCCCTCCAGACCTTGACTCATGCACACATCCAGCAAGAGCAGCCTGGTCCCTGAGGCGCTGCCCTAATTGTGATCTTATTTCACCCTCGTGACCATCTCCTGACTCTGACTATGATTCCCGTTTTCCCAGCAAGGAAACCAAGGCTTAGAAAAGTCAAGTGACTCATCCAAGGGATAAGAAAGGAAGGAAACTGCCAGGCACAGTGGCTCACACCTGTAATCCCAGCACTTTGGGAGGCCGAGGTGGGCGGATCACTTGAGGTCAGGAGAGTTCCAGACTAGCCTGGCCAACATGGTGAAACCCCATCTCTACTAAAAATACAAAAATTAACCAGGCATGGTGGTGCACACCTATAATCCCAGCTAAACAGGAGGCTGAGGCAGGAGAATCACTTGAACCCAGGAGATGGTAGCTGCAGTGAGCTGAGATGATGCCACTGCACTCCAGTCTGGGTGACAGACCAATACTCCATCTCAAAAAAAAAAAAAAAAAAAAGGAAGGAAACTACCACCTGCTGCACCCATACACGCCAGGCACTGTGCTCAGTGACATGCCAGCCACCTTTAATCCCCACGGCAACCCCTGAGGCACAATTCCTATTCCCATGCTAAAGATACGAAGGCTGAGGCAGGGGCAGGCGGAGGACAGGTAAGTGAGCACAGGAATCCAAGGGTGCCGGCTTCCTTGCAGTGCACACCCTTGCCCGCTCAGCCTGAGCCGAGGCTCACAGAGAAGTAACTTGCTCAGGGTCACAGAGGGGCAAGAGACAGAACCAGAACTCATACCTGGTCTTTTGTTTCACCACACAGTTGCCTCTAGGGCAGATGGGAAGAACCACTGGCTGCGAGGATGAGCCCTTCTGATAGGCTCACCTGGGAAAGTAGAGTAGGACACAAAGATGTCACTGGGTGTGGGCAAACTAGATACAGCATCCACCTGGTCAAAGGTCCACGCGTCTTCCTGGAATGGGGTGGCATCTGACTCGGGGTTACTGCCAGGGGACTCCTCTTCAGGGGAAGTGGAGGCCACCTCAAACCCATGGTCTTTCTGCTCTGCAGGAAGCAGAAACAAACACCCCTTGTCATTGAAATACACAGACACGGATGGTTCAGCATATGAAAGTCAGTGTAATATACTACATTAACCACAGTGTGAAAGGAAAAGAAATCTTGGGACCCCAAACTCATTAAGCCAAACGGAAAAGTCAAGCTGGGAACTGGGTCGCGCAAACCTGCCTCCCCATTTTGGTTCCTAAATGAGATGGCTATGAGATGAACAGCTACACACCTCCCTCACATGTTGCCCACAAGAAAATTCCTGGTGAGCTCGAAGATATTTACCCTAAGGCATGTCTGATAAAATTCATCATGGCAATGCAAATTGATAGCTTATCTTTACAGAGGCATCACCCCCTGCCCACCTGGCACAAATGCATATCCAATTGTTCCCCTGCCCCATTTGTCTTTGTTATCTTATCCTCCCTTGCCCTACATTACCTCTTTTTTTTTTTTTTTTCAAAGATGGGGTTTCACCATGATGGCCAGGCTGGTTTT